TGTTAACCCGAGCCAAATAAATGGTTTCTCTGAATATAAAAGTCTCATTTGACACACACAGAAATTCTGTTGGCCTTGATCGTTTACTTTTGCAGATACCAACAAAAAATAAGCGTTAATGTACAGGCACAACTCAAATGCAAACAGGGTTGTTGACGGTTTCTCCGATTATGACTACTATGGAAAATGACACATTTTCCCTGCTAATCAGCATCATTCTTTGATTAACTATAATGACTGTTATAACAAACTTGCGCTTTGAGAAGAAAATACTGTTTTAAGGAATGGGTTGATTTAATACTGAAGCTGTTTGTAATGTACGCTTGGAAACAAAATTGATTAAATCCTGAGTCTCTCTCTAAATGTAGACAACTAAGGATATCTTGATTTTTTTTATGTAGAGAATGAAATATTCGAGGAACTCAAATCACTAGCGAGGAAACAAAAAAAGTAACTTTGGGCTATAAAACCAGCATGATGCGCCTTAATGCTTACCAAATGGTGCACTTAATCCAACATAAGAAAGATGAGATTTTGTTGGGGTTTTTTTGGGGGGAGGTGTTTATTTTTTTCTTGCTGTGACAAAATAACTTGCTCATTGAGAGAAATGAAAACTGAGTCATGAGCAATTTTTCTGTTATTTATTTAAGCCTTGACGAATTGTAGGGTTGGGTGCTGTGGATCTGCTCTGCTACTGGAGATCTTTGATTGATGGATAGTTTTAATTTACTGATACCCCACCTTTCTCTCCAATGGAGACCCAAAGATGCTGGCATCATTCTTCTCTCCTCCATTTTATCCCCACAACAACCCTGTGAGTTAAGCTAGGCTGAGCACTTGTGACTGGCTCAAGATCACCCAGAGATTTTCCATGGTATGAGTGGGGATTCGAACTACTGCACCATAATGCCTCTCTTAACCACTCTCTTGCACCAGAGAAAGGGATCTTCCATTAGGAGAAAAGCATTTCTGCTCATGGTGTTGGAAATGTGTGTGAGTTGCAAGGTCTAATTCAGTCATTATAGGCTAATCTGCTTTACCTGGTGTGCTATTGTTTAGAATGATTTGGAAGGGAAACCTGGCTCAGAGCCAATGAAAACAAAGCCCGTGAAATCTAAGTGTGTTTACTCACAATCATTGGTTAATGCATTCAGGTGATTTCCTTCTAGGGGTCAAGAAGAACAAGAATCTCCATTGCTGTTGTTGCTGAGAGACCGTGTGGTCGGTCGGTTTCTGCAGCTGTAGAGATGTAGCTTTAGATCTTTTATTTTGTAGCTTTTCCTGTGTACCCTTCCCTTTAGAAGTACAGATTTTTACACAGAAAGAAATGCCTCCAATGAAGCAAAGATCCATTGAAAACTCTGAATATCTAAGTATTTTTTGCCAATGTTTCCAACACATGGAACAGATTTGCAGGATCCAACTTATATGTGTTGCCCAGCCTAGTAAATCAACAGTAGTTCTTAGCACTTATACATCACTGGCACTGTTGAAAGCACTTCATATGGTTAGTATTAACAGTACGTGGGTCAGCATTATTATTCCCACTTTGCAGAGTTTGGGCTGAAGGACTTGCCCAAGATCACCTACTGAGTGTGTGGCAGAGACAAAATTTGAACCTGGGACCTCCTGGAACACAGGTTGTTCACTTTGACAACAGGCCACTTCTGGCATTGCTGGTACTAAGGGAGGGATCTGCAGAATCTAAGAAAACACAGTACAGGGCTATTTTTGGGCAGGAACGCACAGGAATGGAGTTCCGGCTGGCTCCCAAGTTGGCCACGCCCAGCAGGAGCTCATTAGCATAATAGGCCACACCCAACAGCACAAACACATTAGGATTGGCTACATTAGGGGTGTGTGGCCTAACATGCAAATGAGTTCCTGCTACAAAAAAGCCCTGGTTTTTTGACAACAAACAAGGTAAACAGAATAACAAGCAAAAGGTGGGTGTGGCTGGATGACCACACTTCTGGTAACATGGGGGTGTGGCCCAATATGCTAATGAGTTCCTGCTATTGGATGTGGCCTATTATGCTAATGAGCTCCTGCTGGGCTTTTTCTACAAAAAGAGCCCTGCACAGTACAATGCCTGAATTGCAATATGTTTTTGCCAGCTTTTAGGGACCAGGAAATGGATTTCAACACCAACATTATCCCACAACCTCACAGTGTAATCCCGATCCCTGTTGAATAAATCTAAAATGACCCATCAAGTTTGATGCAGCAAGGAGACAGGAAAACAGATTAGCGTGCAGCATTTTCCCCTCTCCTAACAATACACATTTGCTATTTCGGTGCGACAGGATGAAAAAACGAAACATGTGGTTGGATTTCTTTAATGATTTGAAAATAAAAAGCTATTACTGGAACAGAGGTATGACAGAGAAGGAAAAACGCTTTGTCACATACAGCATGATGTGTCAATTTCGGTTTCAAACCCAACCCAAAATATACAGCCGCGACATTCTATTGCATAAGAAAGCTCTGCCGTTTAAACTTTAAATAAGCAACTTTATTAAAAGAGTCTAAGACACTTACCTTACCCTAGTTACTGTCAAGTTCTATGAAAAGCCACAGTTCTGTCACTAGTATAACTTTTTTGCTGAATTTCCTTTTGTTTTATATATATATAATATAAAAAAAATTGGTGTGCACTTTGTGATTCATTTACAATTTATTAACAAGATGATCGTCTCGATGATACAGTTAGGTTTCTTACATGCTCACCAGATTTTTTCCCTTTTTTAAGGATTCGTCTTCGTACGTCATGAACACCCTTTATTTCTATAGCTTGCAAACAAGTGTGATTATTTTGCACACACCAAAAAGAAAAAGAAAAGAAAAAAAGGGGGAAAAGAAGGGGGAAAGGGGAAAAAAGTTTTGTTAGTTGTCATTTTTAAAACTCTGTGTGTACCTGTGTGTATGTATGTATATATACTATATTCAAAACAAATTATATATATGTATATATTTATATAATTTCCCCCCCAGGTGTGCTCAAGAGAGCTCTCTCCATAGGCGCTGAGAGAGAACTGAGAATTAGTAGTTAAGGAACGTTAAAAATTAAAAAAAGTGTCATAGTTTCCTGAAGGACAAAATAATCTAGAATCTTACTGCTTTTGTAGGCCTGAATGGTCAACCTGCCCCTTCCCCAGAGTTCCTAGGCCCCGCAATACTGAATTCCCAGTCTTTTCCACCATAATTTATCATCTCTTTTTTGAATATTGTGGTTCATGTCCTGTGCTGCTTTTCGACATTCTTGTGCCTGAGGCAAACATTCAAAAATGATGCATCTTCGATGCTTATTTTTTGTGTGTGTTACAGACTAAGGGCTTCTCTGCATTCCTATTTTCTTGTAAATTCCGGTTTCTTCTCTCCACCACCACCCCCGTTTCACTTGTGTTTCACTCCCTCTAGTGGTCAATTCAATATTATACCGGTTTATGTCTGGCATAAAAACTGCAGTTTAAATCTGCAGGGAGGTATGCCAGACATAAACCGTTGTAACATCAAATTGAGCCAGTAGAGGGAGCAAGATACATGCGGAACAGAAACGCCCCCCCAACCCCCTCCCACAAACACCCAGAAATTTACAAGCGAGGAAAATGAGAATGCGGAACATCCCTAAGATGATCAACCAAACTTATGTTTGGGCTGCAGGGAAACCATTGTACGTGGCTGACGGGTTTTCTGTACAAAACCAGACTTCCCTCCACATCGAAAACTAGCATGTGAAGACAGCTCTTTCTCACTAACCTCTGGTCTTCTATGTTCAGGGATTCTGTTTTGGGTATGGAGGCTTCATGGAGTCAAATGTTCCACCCACCACCTTCAGTTAGAAATAGATTTGCTCAAGACACAAACTGGCAATTTCGGTAAGAACAAGTTTCGAGGGGAGGGAAGGTAGAACCACTTCTGGGGTTCGTCACCCCGTGTTAGGGTTACCGTCTTCCAGGAGGGGCCTGAAGATCTTCTGGAATCACAACTGTTCTCCAGATGACAGAGATCAGTTCCCTGGAGAAAATGGCAGCT